TCCCTGAAATAAGTGATTCTTTTAACCTACATGACAGCTCTTTTTGCCGTCATGTAAATGCTGCGTCACCCAAAAGCATAGAAATTCAAACGTACTCACAAAACCAAGAACCCTTTTGAAGGGAAAATTTGTATGAAAATTAGTTTTCAGCTGCTCTAATACATGGTGAAAGTAAAATATCGGTAGGATCGATATTTTTGTCGTTTGAATTTTAGTGACGTCATGTGAAAACCAGCAGTAATTGCAACCAGCAATAATTTTAAGTTTTTATTTGAAGCAAAATGTCAAATTGTGACGTCGCATCGACTGACGTCACCAAAATTGATTACAGTCGACTCTCCCTTAACGGACACCTCTATAAGACGGACATCCTGTAAAACGGACACCTAGAGTTGGTCCCTGCCTTTCTTTACTCCCTTTATTTGACTCTCTATAAGACGGACATCTCTCTAAGACGGACACTTTGTGCCGGTCCCAAAGGTGTCCGTCTTAGAGAGAGTTGACTGTAAATGCATTTTTTAATTTCAAAGTCAAACATATATCATCTGAAGGAGCTTTAGGAGGGGAGTAAAACAGCGAAAGCCGTTTCTTGCCACGTACGACACGTAAAACCCGAGTTATGGGACTTTAAAGAATTTTATTTAGGTGCACCCCCCGGAACCATACTGTCCCTCAAAAAACGATCCCTATGATATTTTTTTCACAGTTTTTTTCGAAATAAGCTGATTTTCCGGTAACACAAACCTTTTATAGTTGGCCAAAATCGTATATCATTTTAGATTTTCGTTTTCTGACTCAAAAACACTAATTTAAGCAAACCAAAAAAACGATCACGTGACATTTTATGACGTCACAAAACTGTTTTCCAGGTTTTTGCGCAGTTAGGAATTTCTTGCTTTCAAATTTCTTTTCTTCCTTTAGCTTTCGACAGTAAAGATGTGTTATGTGTAACTTAAATAGCAAGGGCGACTAGACAATAAAACTCTTAAATTTAGACTTATTTTACAAGGGGTGAGGCGCGGGGGGAGGGAGTCCCGTTCTTGTGCTCCGAATTTATCCAGATTCAAAATGTCATACCGTATCTCAGCTCATATTTGACATGCCGATGTCGATGCTCGTTGGGTTCTTGTTCTTGTAAGGTAAGAAATACTTTGACTCTTATTAGCTTGTTTTCATGCTAGCATGCTGCCTCTTTCCTTTCGGTAGGTTACATTTTAGTTTTGGCTAGCGTTAACGGGTGTCATAATCAGAAGCATGTTTATGGCGAGAGGAGGAACAAGCGTGCAGCGAAACCGCGAGAAGGGCGAACGTCTTTTCTTTCCCCCGCCCTTTGAACCCGCGTCTCTTTCGCGTGCGGCTCTCGCGTGACTTCTCGCGACTCTCCCAAATGGAGACTTTGCTGGAAGGCTAAAGGATGTTTATGATTTCTCAGGAATTTAGTTATTCGTCTAGCTCTAGTTTTCAGCAAACAGTAGTTTATCGCTGTAGTATTAATGTGAGTTTGTCCAGTAGAAGTACTTCGTAGTAATAACGTTCGAAAACGTCGAAACGCCGTCGTATTTTTTAACGCATTAAAAAATTTCTTAAAATATGTTTTTAAGAAAAGTTTTTTCGCAATTTTTTAGAGCTAATTTTTTTTTATAAGTTGCTTTTTTTAACTAAATTGCATAAAAATGGTAAAAAAGAGCAGTTGAATGCAGGCTAATCAAATCAGTTTTTTCTCTCGCAATCGGCCCAAGCAATCCCCCTCTTTTTGGTAATTTCCAGAGCTCATGATTGTCTTGATGCACTTTCAAAGGACCATTTCGGTGCCAGTTGAAACATGTAAAATGGAAATCACCAGGAAGTGCAGAATCAAACGACGCCAACTCTAAATGAGTTTCTTTTGGTTCCTGAAAATAGCCAAGGCGCGGAGCAGAGTTTAGAAAGGTTTTCGAAAACATAGAAGCGAAAAATGGAAACGGTGAATTCGAAAAGAAAGTTCGTCTCGTTTAATGGACTTCCTATCAAACCGTCCTTTATTACTGTTGATTTGTTCAATAAAATTATGAATCACATGACTCCAAAAGATTTCATAGAACTTCCATTAGGTGGATCCAAAGTCTAAAGGAAGACTTCTACCATCGGTTACTTTAAAAAACTTTTATTGCATTGTTTTACTAAGTTTACATTCACCCCTTGGATTGTTTCTTAGAAATTGAAATACTTGGCGTTTAACTGAAATTACAAATTTGAATACACTATTCAGTTAAACTCGCGCAAGTGAAATGCGGGAAGTGGGAACTGGTAATTTCCCGTTTTAACCTTAGGAAAAGATTGAACTCCCTTATGAAATATTTCTGGATCCACCTCAGCGAGCTTAATCTGAAAACAAACATACCAACATTTCCCAAAGCAAAGAGAAATGATCAGTAAATATATCTCTTCCTTATTTTGAGTCAGTCTAAGTATTTACTAGAGCTAAATAAGCATTGCCCATTGATGAAGTTATACATTCAAAGAACTAATCTAAAGATTACTTGGCCTACTTTGACATTTTATTAGCACCATTTTTATTGGTGGTCAGCGTATATGGATGGCTGAGTTTACCCTGTATTCTTTAAATCTTGTTCTTTTTTTGCTTTCTTGCTCTAACTTATTATTTGCTAATGTCTTATATATCTGCAGGATTTGTTTCTGGGATTTATCGATCTTCAAGTCACAATCATTTTTTTATGCAGAGTTGTCGGTCCTCCAGTTATTTCTAATTGTCCTTCGATCCTGGGCATACGAAGTTCACTCATGTCCGAATTTCTCCAATATTTTCGTGACAGAGTATATATAACAGTGACAGAACAATACTAAGAAAAATAAACATTATGCGCGTTTATTTGACATGTTTCAAAGACCTATATTTACTTTAAAAAGCTATCGCAGAGCCTACGGCTAATATCTAACCTACAGTTCGAGGTAAAAAAAGTTAAGTATTTTCGTATTTAAATCAAGTCATCCTTGGTAAGCACTACGACTAAGGTTTGGCGGCTGCCTAACTGAATTAAACAAATTTTAATGTTTACACGAATAAAAATGTGCTAGGCGTCCCTTTTTTTCGGCCTTTAATCACTTGTTCCATTCTTGTACCGAAAAGCCGAGACCCTTTTGGTCAGCGCCGGGCATATGGCGCTGACCAAAAGAATCGGGCCTCATGCACTTGTTCAGATAATGAAAGTCAGTGGCAGTTCAAAGGAACTTCAATCCTTAGACTGCCAAAGGCTTTGACAGTTTTTACTCTTAATTTTCTAACAGTACCTGCAGCCACAAACCTATACTGACTGATGAAAAATGGTTAAATGTAAATGTTCTATTTATAGTGGAAGTGCACTTAGCTACCCAGCTACTTCACAGGCACCCCACTCAAACAACTAGAGACAAATGATTTCATTCAAACGTAGCACAATTAAGACCCAACTTGGCAGGAGGCAAATCAGTTAGGTATTTACAAGTGGGATCGAGGAGTCTAACTGAGCAGAACCGTTAAACCGATCTATCTAATGGTTATTGCTTGACTCGGGACCTCCGGATGCGGATTGAAACATGCGACCTCCGGATTGCGAGTCTAACGCGCTCACCACATTCATGACTACACTGTCTTCTAGCACGTTTATAGAACAGGAGCGTATAGAGTGTTTTCACTCACGTGGCCAGCATCTATGCAAATTTATTGGAACAAAAGAAAGGGTTTGCATAAGAAAAGAGTTCAACTCCCACAGGATTGGTTTGGGACACCAATATGGCCTCCGTTTCATTGTTTTGGGACACCAATATGGCCGCCGTGACGTCATGTGAAAACACTCTATATGTTGTGGTTATTTTATCCTTGGTTTAATTTTTTTTTCCCGCTTTATTTTTAGGCATGGTAATGTATGATAATCAGTTTGGAACAAAGGAAAATAAAAATTAAGCCAAAGAAAAAAATGAACCACAACATATATACCACAAACGCATGAGCGTACTCTTTAAATCTGACGTGCTGAATTTACTACAAAAAAAATGACGCGAAAGATAAAATGGAGTTTGTTTCACCGAATATACTACCTGTAGCGTGAGAATGACAACGCAGGAATTATCTCGGTTCTTGTATCCCACGCTTGTCACGTTCCTTGTCGCTTGTACGTGTCATGACTGGGGTGTGGTAGTGGTGATGGCGGGTGGCGGGGGCTTCCTCCTATCTCTTCAGAAATTCACTTTCTCTGTATTACTGCTAAAAACTATTAACTAAAAAAATATAGAAGCCCTTCTTAAACTAGTTTTTCTAGTTCACCAATGACGTCTTCCATACTAGGCCTGTCTTGAGGATTGTCATGCAAACATCTACGAATGAGAGCTCTTAGCACTTTGTCTTTCACCATGGCGACTTGCTCGGCACGCCTGTCAGGATTTGGTAGTTCCCGGATACAAATCTCGCAGATGAGAACACCAAAACTGTACACGTCAACCTGAGGACGAAAAATATACGATAACGATTTAAAATATATGTACATTTAGATAACATTTAGACAACTTATCACCTTATGTATCGTGGGGGCGGGGCGGGGGGTGTTACTCAGCAAAGTCTTGTACCGGCGACTCCGCCCAGAGGTAGTGTGATTATCGGAACCGAAACGAAGAGTGGAGGCCAAGTACAATATTCAAGGATGTATTATTTGATGATTTTAGATGATTAGACGATCAAGGCCTAAGGTCACTAACTTATCACACAATACATCAGGACGATATATTAGTCGAGCGTGGTTACTAAGGAAGAGAATTAAGGGCTAATCCCACAGAGGTCCACCCCCTTACCCTTTTATATACCTTTTTGACAGAAATAAGTATCCCCAAATCAAAAAACCAGAACGTTTTCTTTACTTTTTCACAGCCATAAAATGCCCTTGGGTCTTTCTCCTTCGGTATCTCGCAGGGATTTAATATTCTAAATTAGCCTGTCTGTTTGGAGAATAAGTTTAGCAGACGACATACCTTCACAGTCTGTTTTTAGTAAGTGCTTCAGGAGCACTGTATACTGCAGCACCTGGACAAACTGACAGGGTATGTTGCATGAAATTAGCAGCACCATAATCCGACACTTTGCCTCGCCATTGGTCCGCTTGTCGCCATAGCAAAACATTTACGCTGCTGATATCGCGGTGGAGGATGGGGCGTGGTTTCTTTTGGTGCAGGTAATTCAATGCACGAGCCACATCCAGAGAAATAACGATCACTTCAGCTATAGAGAGAGATCGATGCTCCAGCAATTTCCGCAAACTCGTTTCCATGAGCTCAGTCACGAACAAAGGACTTCCTTCATCGTTTGTTGCTCCGATGAATTGCAGCAAACAAGGATGGCGGCATTTTGAAGCAATGCTCATTTCCCGCTCAAACATTTCTCTATTATGAGAGGACAGGTTCAGAAGNTGCTCATTTCCCGCTCAAACATTTCTCTATTATGAGAGGACAGGTTCAGAAGCACCTCGTAAATCTGTTTCACGGCAACAGTGCAGCCACAATACTTGGCTTCGACAACACTTCCCCAGCCTCCCTTACCAATGCATTGCTCTGTCAGCTGAATTTGATCACGTGAAATGACCCAGTCAGGTGACTGTTGGCGCGGACGTTCACTTAACGCTTGTTGAGCTGTCGAAAGAGACATTTCCAGTTCATTCACTTCTTGTTCTTTTTCCCTCAGTTGTTCCTCCATGGTGGTATTTTCTTCATCTTTTTCTTGTAGCTGTATTTGAGCATTTGTCAACTGTTGCGTCAACTCTCCCAGTTGCCCTTGAACATTTGTAAACTGTTGTGTCATCTGCCTCAATTGTCCATCTCTCTCCTGAAGTTGCCCTTGAACATTTGTCAACTGCTGTGTCATCTGCCTTAATTCTCCATCTCTCACTTGAAGTTGCCCTTGAACATTTGTCAACTGTTGTGTCATCTGCCTTAATTCTCCATCTCTCTCCTGAAGTTGCCCTTGAACATTTGTGAACTGCTGGGTCATCTGCCTCAATTCTCCATCTCTCTCCTGTAGTTGCCCTTGAATATTTGTCAACTGCTGTGTCATCTGCCTTAAGTCTCCATCTCTCTCCTGTAGTTGCCCTTGAACATTTGTCAACTGCTGTGTCATCTGTCTTAATTCTCCATCTCTCTCCTGTAGTTGCCCTTGAACATTTGCCAACTGCTGTGTCACTTTTCTAAGTTGTCCGTCTTTCTGTCTTACGTGCTCTTGGACGCTTTCCAACTGCTGTGTCAACTCCCTTAATTGTCCTTTAAGAAGGATAAAAGGAGGCCGTTTTAAGTTTATTGTCCCACAGAACAAAAAGAGACAATCACCCTACCTATCTCACGCTCACTCTAATACCAACTCCGAGAGGTTAGGATCCATCTTCTACAATTGCGTCATTCCAAGGGGAAAGAGTTACGATCTCTAGATAATAATGTACCTAGTGTGGTGCTTAATATTAGGTACTCATTCCCCTCTCTTGTATTTCTCTTGGCCTTAATGTCATGGGTTTACCTTATTTTTCATTTATTACAAACACAAATTCATTTTTTTTTATTGGGTTTTGTTTTTGTTTATTTTTTTGTTGACCATACATTATGTCCATCCGTGAGAACAGACCAAATATCTTCTACCGCTTTGAACGATGAAGGAGCCGCCATATCGGGCCATTGGCCCCAGTCCCTTTGTTTGAAATATGCTCTGTATTTACACCACACCTGAACTGGCACCTAACGGCTCATCAATGGAGCTCAATGATTATCCAGGAGACGATTATTCTTCTTAAACTGTTACAGTAAACCTTTTACCGATACGACGGCAATATTGAATAAGTTAGATTTAAGGAGTATTGTGGGGTGCCTAGGGGGCATGAGCACAATCCGTTTTTCTTTAAGTTTTGTTAGAATAAGATTGTAATGGGAAAAAAGATCGTTGTGCCGTGTTTGGCAACCTCGTTCCCTGGGTTCTCTCCTAACCACCCTACGGGTTCAGGGCGGAAAAACGTTCTGCGCAAGCTTCTGCGCATCCCTTATCGCAGGCTCAAGGCGGGCTTTTCTGTGTGTTCACTGTGTTTGTTTGTTGCTGGAGTTCTGAGTGAAATGCACGAGGTGCGAACGTTTGCTCTCTGTAAAGCATTAAGTTTTTATTTGACATCTTTGCTCTTTTTTCGTCGCTTGAAAATTACTTTGGATTCAGAACAACCAATGTTAAAGGAAAAACGGATCATTCTGTCCGTCTGAGGTGGAATACGGTAAAAGGTTTTGAACATTTCCAAAGGGGCGCGTATTTTTTCTGATTGTCCATCCGATTAATTTATGAGTTGATTTCGCCGAGTTGAATTAAAATCCCGCTTTATTCTGTTATTAGTAGTTACGGTTACTTTTTTTACACTTCCAGATTTATTACCTTCGCAGAACCAGCTTTATCTTTGTCTTCAGTCAAAGAACGATATTGCTGTTATAACGCGTCAGAGTGAACAAACTTGTGCGCTTATTAAACTTTCTCGGAAATAGAACGCCAGCAAGCTTACTCAAGATCATTTTTCTGTTGCTCAAGTAATAATAGTCAGAGTTTTTTCATTTTTCATTACACAGTTTTGTTTTCCCGTGCACTATGAAAGTTTTCTGTTCTTTCTGAAGAATAACTTTCTGAACGCAAATTGTCCTTTACACTCGCTGTGAAGTAGAGAAGGACAACTGCCGGCAGTGACTTCGAAACAATTGACTCTTTTCCCGTAAACAATTGCTGCAGCTGGATTCGACTGAGGTGAGCAAAACAAGCCCTTATGTGTAATTTTCTGTATTTTCTAATGATCGGCTGAATTTAATTTGCTTAAACGAAGACCCTGGCATGGACCAGTTAAGCTTATTGAAAATAGCTAAATGGTGAATCATGGCAAGGCTGGCAAGTTGCAACTGATCTTTTGCTTTTAAGATCTTTAGGTAGGTTGTTTTCGTACAGAAAATTCATTTCTTCATTGTCAGCAAGAAGTTTTTGAAATAATGTAACTTTAACTTTGTTTGAAGGAAATCCTACTTACGCGTAGGTTTTTGACAGATGTTATGCTTGTTCAACTTGACAACACAAAGCAAAATTTATATATCTGCGCGAAACGAGTAAGTTTAGAAAACTATAGTTGCTTTGAAACCGATTTTTGGGAAGATTTTACTACATAAAGATTGACCTTTTTTCTGCCCACATCTCAACGCAATAACCTCTACATTGAGGATTTTGTTTATATTTTAGTGATCTGCGAAACTACGAGTGTCCCATCGAGCGGGGGTTTTAAAATATCAGCTCGAGTGCGACAAAGTTCAGTGACTTCAAACACATTGTGGGCAAGCGTTAATTTTTTTGGGCAAATCACTGTCCAAAGATATGTTGTTTTTGTGTCCACTGTGGATCTCCGGACCTTATATATCCAGGAACTTCCTTATATGAACACATTTTGTGAATGCATCTTGAAAAAAATCGGACGTACGCATGCACATTTCCAGTACAACGCAAGGAAATTAATGTCGTTAAAGTCCATTTTACTATGAGGTATTCTTCGAGAAAATTAAGCAACGACAAGGTTATAACCACAGCTTGCATCTTTTGAAGACAAATTGCCTGTTCTTTCTAGGTTATGAGTGCAAACATTTTATTTTTAGGCAATAAAATATTTGAAATCCCGCCATTTTTTCAAACCCGGCCAGGGGGTCTGGGCAAAAAAGTTCACGCATGCTCATTACGTTTTTCCGCCCTGAACCCTACGGGTAGGGCGGGTAGGAGAGAACTCTGGGAACGAGGTTTCCGTGTTTGATTGCCTTTTTCCAGAAAAATATACAGTGAAAGACCATATTTCAACTGATCGTGCTCATGTCCCCTGGACATCCCATAATACTCCTTAAATCGAATTAGTTCAATATGGCCGCCGTATCGACAAAAAGGTCTATTAATCCCTTAATTAGACTCTCTTCAAGAGCCACAATGGCCCTTGATTCTCTTATATACCTGATATTTCCTTTGTTTCAGTCTCCTTCTGAGTGTTTTCGTTAAGATGTTGTTTTGTTTTAGTAAGAAATCCTCCTTCTTCTCTCCTCTTATCAGTTCCACTTCCTATTTTTCCAGCCTTTGGGAAAAGAGAATTACCAAAGTAATTTAGTACAAGTAAACCTACTATATCCTAAACTATTTAAACGATTCATTTAGCCACCTCTAAACCACGATCTGTCATAAATCCCTCAGGAATATGGCACTTATGTAGCCTGGTAAACAGGCTCCCGGTTTGAAGCTAGGGGGGCAAAAAATAGCGGAGACATTGCGAGGGGAAATGAAACAGGAAATTGGGAAAACGCCCTTTCTCCCGCCTGCAAAAGAGATTTACAAAAATGTGTTAGTGCCTCAGTTTAATTTGTTCCTTGAACTTCTTATATTTGGAAAAATTTGAATTCAGTGTGAATTCTTTTTCGCTAACGTCAATCGAATGGTTCGTAACAGTTCTTAGTCAGTAAATTGTCCGGAGTAACAATTGGGTCCCTATAGAACATTCACGCGCGCCCGCTTGCTATATTATATAGCTTAATCTAGGTGGCTTCTGTACATGCTACTACCAAATATGCTTTTTGTGGCTATCACGGCATTGTGATGGATCGTTCCATTCGAAAAGACGATTTTGGAAATTAAGCCTGCTCCAGGCGTCCAGATCATGCAGATAGAGGGGCAGACAAGTGTGACGTATTTATAATGAACACAACATTAGACACGGAAGTAAGTATTCCTGTCATTTCGTGACAGAGATGACAGAAATAATTTTACAAAATTATAATATGTTAACATTTAAACCTCTCTTACATCTCCGACGTCGACGTTCATGGCACTCAGTCCTCTTTTCTCTGACAGTATTCTACGAGCCTCGTCAGTCTCACAGCTTTGCAGTGGTGTTTGCCCATTCATGTTTGGCAGCTGTGGGTCTGCACCCATTTCTAACAACAACAGCAGCATTTCTGACAAAATCACGACTTCTATGGGGTCAGCAGGCTTGAATGTCACAGCTAGAAGGAGGGGTGTGTTTCCCTCGGTGTTAATGGCATTTACATCACATCCTGCATGTAAAATAAGCTTCATGGTCTCAACACAGGGAAGCTTGCACACACTTTGCATCATGTCTTCTAAATCTTCATCATAATACGAAAAAATTTGGGTTTCATGCCATGCAACTAAGTGCAGTAAAGTATTTCCATCATTGGTTCGAGGGTTTAAGCGCAAAAATCTTTGTAGAAAGTCAGTTATCTTGGCGTTTTGACCCTTAACTTTGATGTATATCATCAAAAGATAGAGAGCACAGTAAAGCATTTTTTCTTGCTCCTCGTTTTCATGTTCCTCTCGCGAGTTCTCACTTGCAGCAACCAGTGCTTCAAAAACGTGTTCAATCAAATTTGGACTTAAATGTATACCTTTTTGTACCATTATTCCAAAGAAAGCTGTAAAATCTGTAAGGACATCAAGATCTTCTAGTGTTATTGCAACATCGCTCTTCATTTTTTTCTCCAACGCACGTTGCCACAAACCACAACAAAGCTCGTACTCCTCAGAGTCAGCTAAAACACATTCCCGGTAATGGATTTTTCGCAGAGTTGCTAGGTTGTCAGAACCAAGGATTCTCTCTCTGATTATAAGACCTTCCATGCCGATAACATGATCATCGCCTTCTAAAAGAGCAAGCTCCTCAGGAGTTTGACTCTCTTTTCTATTTTGGTAAGCTTCCACAGGTTCCATCTCCTTTTTAAGCAATGGGTGTTCCGGGTCTTCATACCTCTCCTCCATCCCACGTTTCATATAACTAAACGCTTTCTCAGAGTCACCAAAACTATCGTTAGCAATGGTGGCACCAAGAAGTTCAAGAGCATCAATTCTCTGTTCCTTTGTACATTCCGGTCTGCCGATAATATGCTCCACCATTTCAACGAGACATTCATCACAGGCATAAAGAAGTGGTGTTAAACCTAGATCATTTGGCAGTTGTGATGCTCCACGAGCCAAAAGCTCACTGACTATCTTTAAGTGGCCCCTTTCAACAGCGTCGTGAAGTGCAGTGCGATCATCTTTGCCTTGAAGATCCATAAAGGCACCTTTGTTAATAAGATAAGTAACAACACTCAAGTGGCCCCAGAAGCACGCCACCATTAGAATGGTACTGTTGTCACTTTTTGAGCGAGCATTCACATCTGCTCCGCTCTCAACCAAACATCTCACAATGTCAAGGTGGCCTCTGTACGTAGCAGCCCTCAATGGAGTCGAACCCGTCGATGTTCTCCCTTCAACGTCTGCATTTCGTTCGATTAACAGTTTCACAACATCAAGACGACCAGCTGAAGCAGCGGCCCACAAAGTTGTACAACCCTCTGTAACTTCGTCTGCTATCTTCAGCGTTCCTCGAGCCTCGATGTCTGCTCCATAACTTAGAAGAATCTTCACAGAATTCAGGTGTCCATTGTGAGCAGCGATGATGAGAGGAGTGACAAAATGGCTGCCATCTTTAATTTTCGTTTCCAAAGCGGTGTTTCTTTGTTCATGTTTCAGCCGCTTTAAAAGATCAGTCAGATTAGAAGAACCATCACAGGCGGCTTGATAAACTTGAGTCATAGGCGTACCAAAATATTAGTGCGCTATTCCTTCTCCTGCCCTGTCTCCCAGTTCTTTCGAAATTTTTAGGTGTCGTTCATGGTACTCTATGGCTTTCTTTTCTTTCTGCTGGCTTTGGTATTCAAGCTTTTCTGAAAAAGGTATAAATATGTTGCGGTTTCATTTTATCGTTGAGAAAATTTTTATTAGTTGGTGTATTTTTGTTAGTACTATACAATTAACTATTTTTAAGAAATGGACAACAACTTTAAGTTTAAAACAAGGCATTTTCGATCGTTCAACGATCATCTTCAGTTGTGAATTCGTTTGTAAGTTCGGTTGAATTAATACAGGCAATGACGTATTAGTTAAAACGTGATACAAATCAAAATTTCGAAACTGACTTAACAATTTTAAGATGCGCGAGACATGGAATAACACTAGCGCGAGCACTACGCTTAATACGAGGAAGAAAATTGTAAAAAATAGAAATAATTACAATGGTTATAACACAAAATGTTATGAGAACAAAAATATATACATAGCCCCGTGAAAGTTTTGTTACGGAAAACAGATATCTGGAGATTAAGAGGGTTGTTATTGTCCAAGACATCCAAGAAAGCTGACTTGTTATCTACTTCCCTCTCCATAGTAAACCGTATATTAGGGTGTTGGGAATTGATGTAATTGTAAAAGGAAACAGCATCTTGCTCCGTCTCGAATACGCAAAAAGTGTCATCGATATATCGTCTATAGAACAAAATCTTAGAGCCCTCGTAGTTTTCTATCCAAACCTTCTCAATATGCCCCATAAAAAGGTCGGCTAAGACGTGGGCAAGGGGCGAGCCCATAGACACACCATCTACCTGATCATAAAAAGAACCTCTGAACAAAAAATGAGTTTGGGCTGTGGCAAAACGTAAGAGGGTTTTAAGCTCGGTGGCACTTAACTTTATGTCAGTATTATCCTCCTTTATGTAGCGAACCGCTAGATCAATACACTCATCCAAGGGTATGTTGGTAAATAAACTTTCAACGTCGAATGAAACCATAAAATTACCCGATTAAGGTATATCTTGGATTTCATTAACAAAAGTAAAGCTATCCTGAGTGCAATAATTAGTACGGATGTAGGGTTGTAATAGAGAGCATAGATACTTAGCTAGTTCATAGTTATAGGTCCCAATCGACGAGGCTATGGGTCTGAAAGGAGGCAATGAGTTAGGTCCACGCGGCTTGTGCATTTTTGGTAGTCCATAAATCCTTGCTGGCTGGGTACCAGAGGGGTAGATTTTGGAGTACACTTTCGGATCCAAGTGTCCATTGGATTTCAATTTCCTCAGAAATCGCTGAAGCTGACTTTCTCTTAACGGAGTAGGATCTTCTTTAAATGGCTTGAACTTGGTGGAGTCACTGATTATTTTGAGTATACACCACTGTCATAATCAGATCTGTCCAATATCACAACGCCGTTTCCTTTGTCCGGCTTTAAAATCACGATGTTAAGGTTTCTTCTTAGATCCTTCAAAACTTTGTACTTCTTCAGATCAGCAACTGTTGGTCGATGCGCTAGGACGTATGAATTGGCAATATGTGAGAGGTCGGCCACAACCTTGCCCTTTTCTTTTCTGTCCTTGAGATGTTTGATCATTGTTCCGTTGATAAGTTCAAAGCAAGTGAAAACGTCCGATTTGTTGATTCGAGGTGGACGGATTGAATGAGTCAATCCATATTTCAAGACTTCCAGTTATTGCGACGTTAGATTGCAGGACGACAGGTTAGTAATCGTTTCATTTGATGTGAACGGAAGAACGGTATTCCTCGTCAGTCTTTCAAGCTTCTTCGTATGGGTTTTGACGATCTTGTTTACCGCTTTCTTCACGTTGTAGTCCACTGATCTCTGGAGAATGTAGAAATCAACGCTGTTAAAAATGTTACTAATGTCTGATAACAACTGTTTCTTTACGAGTAGAAGAGAGTACAAAAAGCTTCTACTCGTAAAGAAATAGTTGTTATCAGACATTAGTAACATTCTCCAGAGATCAGTGGACTACAACGTGAAGAAAGCGGTAAACAAGATCGTCAAAACCCATACGAAGAAGCTTGAAAGACTGACGAGGAATACCGTTCTTCTTAAAATTGTACGTTAATTCAGCTTCGAAATTTTGATTTGTATCACGTTTTAACTAATACGTCATTGCTTGTATTAATTCAACCGAACTTACAAACGAATTCACAACTGAAGATGATCGTTGAACGATCGAAACATGTCTTGTTTTAAACTTAAAGTTGTTGTCCATTTCTTAAAAATAGTTACTTGGCTGCTATGATCCAGACCTTTTGGAGCTACTATACAATTAGTTCGATCAGTAGCAATTGCATCTTAGGGGAGTGCGTTTGACAGAGAGAAGTGATAAGGCCAGGGGACGGGGAGGGTGCCGAAGGTGAGGCAAGTATGAACTAGAGACCTTAAGATCGGGGTTTGGTCATTTTACGAAAACGACAAACTGTGGTTTGCGCTGAACGGTTTCACGTTACCCCTCTGCACATATTTGAGACTTGCATGAGATTCGCGGGTGGTAGCTCGCGGCTGCCATGTTTGTTTTCAATCGTCCATTTACTTCTATTTTAGCTGAAAAATTGTCTTAAAAATTACCGCCGTTTGTTTTAAAAACAGAATTCGATAATCAATAAGCAAGAGCTCTAAAAAGTCGTATTTCTTCTTAAACATGGGATTATGATGTTTTAGGGTGCAAAAAACCTTGCGGTAAATCACTTACCTCTGGAACGCGGTCTAGCCATACAAACGAGAACCTTAGACCGCAAACTTGACATTCGCAAATCGCAGGAAATGCATGCAGAAAAACCTCAATCTTAAGGTCTCTACTGTTGAAGAGTATATTTGGGCTTCATTGCGTTAGAGGTGTGTTGTAAAGAACGTTGAGAACATTGGTGACTGCTATTTAAGGTGGTTTTTTTGTAGCTTCGTGTAGAGTATTTTTCGCAGACCTCGTGGTTAGGAAAAAATACTTATCGGGAGCGTTTTTGACTTTGTTGCTGTTCGGCTTTCTAATACTTCTTACTTGTACTCGTGGATAGGATTATGGACATTATACCTGTTGAGATTTTTCGGGGTTTTTTTTTGGTGTCCACTGGATTTTTTCCCCACAGCAAAAGTGGGGACACTGCCAGGACTGTTTGTTAAGCGAACATTGTGGACACAAACATCGAATGTGTGAAGACTCAAGAAAATACTACTGACTGCGAAACATGGTGGAGTTTGCTAAAGAAAATTACAAGAAGGAATTAAAAAGGGCAACATACTACGTTGGAGAAATTGACGAAAATCTAAACGCTGGAGGAACGGAGGATTTGGCGTACGAGAGAATATGAGACATAATAGGCACTCGAGGCTTCAGCGAACCAAGTAAAAGACGCCATGTTGGATACGGAGAAGAGTTTTGACGAGGTAAGACAATGGTCAGACATTAGTAAACAAGATTTTATTCCTGTGCGAAACCTGAGAGATAGACTGAAGGAAGCGTTAAGCGAATTAAAAAACAGGAAATACAAAAGAGAGAGGGCGGCTGGTTTCATAATAAGTTTAAGCTAGAACTTGCTTTCGAAGTAAAAAAGGCCAAACAGGAAATGACTAAACGACAAGCAGTTAGACTACAGAAGTACTCTATCACACCATTTAGGAGGTTTACAAAGACTGGCTCAGATTCTGGAATCAGTTTGGTGTGGAAGTTGATACCTCTAAACGGGTATATGTGAAACCAGGAGACCACTGGTAAAACCTCTAATCCCGATACTGCAAGATGACGCGATAAAAGAGTGGAACGTCACGATGTTGCTTCGTGACGAAAGGGAAGAGTTGTATAAAGATCCATGACAATAGCTCAGTCAATTAATTTTAAGCTTGCCCATCATCGATCAAAATCTACTCCCTAAATGCAAGCAGACCGCATATGGTGGCCCGTTTAAGAGGCGCGCTTGGTAAACTGTCAGTGGACTCCATGCAAAAATCATATCCTGTGGTGGGCGTAACCCTGTCACGAAGGCTAATTCAAACACTTCTGTTGGATGTTCTAGACATGAGATACCTAGGGAGTGAGGTAGTGTTGAGACTTTGATATAAATTATAAAATTGCGGACAAATGCCCTGTTTGTCATCTGCTACTAATTATATTGACCAAGCTTCGAGAGTAAACGTAGAAATTGCATCTTTCTATCTTCGTTAGGTAGAGGGAAAGGTAGTGGTAAAGTTGGTGGTACATATTTTTTTAAAAACAATTTGGTCTACGGCAGGGATAAATGACATTGGCCGGTAGTTGTTTAGGACTGACTTGGAACCATTATCAAAAACAGGTGACACTTAAGCCATATTTTCCAGTCAGATGGAAAAATACCAGTTGTGTTCTTTAAGTAACTCGAGACTTGTGATTCACTTGGTATGTGGTGCACCATCCGATTTCGGGTCAGTTCCATGGTTTGTTCCTTAATAGGGGACAAGGCAAGGCTAAAAATCTCGAATCCCCAGCATACCGCAAGTCAATGAATGTAACAGAGTCTCCATAAATAAGACTCGACAGTAAACAGGTAAGAAAGTAGAGACCTGCGAGTTTCCCTGAAGCCGACCTTCTTCGGGAGTTAAATAAAAGTTACCTAAAGGCACAGCAAAAAATGAGCTGCATTGTATCTTTTTTCAACCTTATTAGGTAAACTCGTTGTAAATCTTCGCAATCAGTGTCAATTTATCTTCATATTCTTTGCAAGGCTTTTCAGTCATCCATGGTGTGTCTCCTCAAACCCTCCAACAACAGTCGTGCCAACAGTTTCCGCCAGCTGTCATGTTGGGTAAGGGTAATAATAATAGAACCAGTCAATAAGCAAGTAGCAATAAGTGTGTGTGTACTCTTTGAAGAAAGTGTAAAATTTAATAATAACAAACGCCCCAACCTTTGGTGTCAACATGAGAACTCCTCAGCGAGGGCGAAGAGTTAATATTTTGCTCGAGA